ACTATATATGTAGCGTGTATAATGCATGCTCTATACCCATATGAATTATTAGTGAGTCAATAAAGTGCAGATGAATTATTGGTGGGGCAGGAAAGTTCAAATATAGCGCGGTTATTCACCGCGTTATACCTTAACGAACAAACGTGCCATTAATGTATAGCGCGGTGAATAACCTTGCTATATATAAAATAGTAGTCAGTTTTTTTTCACCTATTCTTTTCGATTAAGTTCAAAAAGATCACACTTGGATTCCGGGCTCACTTCATATTTATCATTTGCTTTATGTATTATTTAAAGTGGACAAAAGCTAAAAGAAACCATTCATCATAATCTTATAACTTTGCCTCGTTTGCAGATAACTCACGAGAGGCTGCAAATGTGTCTGTTACAATTTTGTCTATTGGAGAGAAAATTGAGAGTAACTTTTACCCTTTTTTCCCCTACTTGATTTGTATATGTCTTGAATTTTATGTTGTCTCAGGTTTTTCTGTCTTTCTTGCATGAATCATATACTGTCAATTGTCATGCATGAAATTCGCTGCATAAATGAAACACAAAATCATTATGTCCTTTTGCTAGTCAGTAAGACCATAAAACCATTTACCTCCAAAATTAAGGGTTATCAACATTTGGATTAAAAGTCATGGGGGTGATGATTATTGGTCACTAAGACATTTTCTATGAACCTACAAAAATTTAGACTAATCAGAGTTCGTCAAAAAAGTTCTGCAAAATCAGCAAGTATTAATATACATGAAAAAGTGGATATAATCACAAATGCATATTGCATGACCGAAAAACACCAAAACATGAACCCGAAAATCATGCCTTAGCAATGAGTATTGGTCACTAGGTCGTTTCCTATGGACATACAAAAATTCAGGCCAATTGGAGTCGTCAAAAGTTTTTTACTAAATCAGCAGGTACTAATACACACAAAAAAATGGATATAATCACAAATTCATGTTGCATGACCCCAAAATACCAAATAATAAACCCGAAAGTCATGGCTAAGCAATGTGTATTGGTCATTACGCCGTTTTCAATGGACCTATAAAAATTCATGCAAATCAGAATCTGTCAAAAAAATTCTATAGAATTAGTATGTACTAATACACACGAAAAAAGTAAATATAATCTTAAATTTGTGTTGCATGACCATGAAAAGCTATAAAATGAATCTGAAAGTCATGGCGAAGAAATGAGTATTATTCATAGGACATTCTCTATGGACCTACAAAATTTTAGGCAAATCGGAGCCCATTAAAAAAATTCTACAAAATTAACGTGTATTAATACATACGAAAAAGTGAATATAATCACAAATTCATCTTGCATGACCATGAAACGCCATAAAATAAACCTGAAAATCATGGCGATGAAGTGAGTGTTGATCGCTAGGCCGATTTTTATGGACCTACAAAATTTCAGGCCATTAGAGAATGTAAAAAACTATAAAATCGACATGTACTAATACACGCGAAAAAAATAAATATAATGATAAATTCGTGTTGAATGACCACGAAACTCCATAAACGAATCCGAAAATCATAGTGAAGCAATGAGTATTTGTCACTTGTCCGTTTTCTATGGACCAACGAAATTTTAGGTCAAACGGAGTTTGTCATAAATATTCTACAACATGTACTAATACACATGAAAAAGTGGATATAATCTTAAATTCGTGTTGCATGACCACGAAACGCCATAAAATGAAGTCGAAAGCCAAGGCGAAGCAATGAGTATTGATCACTTAGTTATTTCCTGTGGACCTCCGAAACTTCAGGTCAATCGGAGTCTGTAAAAAATATTCTACAAAATCAGCATGTACTAATACACAAAAAAAAGTGAATATAATCACTAATTCGTGTTGCATGACCACAAAATTCCATAAAATGAACCTGAAAGTCATGACGAAGCAATGAGTATTGGTCACTAAGTCGTTTCCTTTAGACTTACGAAACTTTAGGTCAATCAGAGCCCGTCAAAAAAAATTTATAAAATCGACATGTACTAGTATACACGAAAAAATGAATATAATCACAAATTCGTATTGCATGGCCATGAAACGCCAAAAAATAAACCCAAAAGTCATGGGTAAGCAATGAGCATTAGTCACTAGGCTGAATTATGTGGAGCAAAGAAATTCCAGGCCAATCGGAGTCCGTCACAAAAATTTTACAAAATCAGCATGTGCTTATATACATGAAAAGTGGGTATAATCACAAATTCGTATTGCATGACCACGCAACGCCATAAAATAAATCTGAAAGTCATGGTGAAGCAATGAGTATTGGTCACTAAATCAGATCCTATGGACCTACGAAATTTCAAGCCAATCGGGTCCGTCATAAAATTTTTACAAAATTAGCATGTACCAATACACACGAAAAAGTAAATTTAATCACAAATTTATGTTGCATGACCACGAAACACTATAAAATAAACCTTAAATTTATGGCAATACAATGAATATTGGTCACTAGGCCATTGCTTATGGATTTATAAAATTTCAGACCAACTGGAGTCCGTCAAAAAAATTCTATAAAATCAATTTGTAGTAATATACACGAAAAAAGTGGATATAATCTCAAATTTGTATTGCATGACCATGAAACGCCACAAAATGAACTTGAAAGTCATGGTGAAGCAATTAGTATTAGTCACTAGGTTGTTTCCTATGGATCTACGAAATTTCAGGCCAATCGGAGTCCGTAAAAAAAATCTACAAAATCAGCATGTACTAATACACACAAAAAAAAATGAATATATTCATATATTTTTGTTGCATGACTATGAAACGCCATAAAATGAACTCAAAAATCATAGCGAAGCAATGAGCATTGATCACTATGTCGTTTCCAATAGACCTAATATGTATATTTAAATTCCTGTAAATTCCTTTCTTTCTTCTACCATAGTTGTGAAACCCTTCCCCTTTCTTTTTTCTATTTGAATAAGCTATTAGTATATGATTCAGCTTTCGCGCACGTTTATTATTTCATTTCCTATATGTTATCTTTCATTAATATTAATATCGGATAATTTCAGCCATCAAAAGACGTTACGTTTTCCATTTGATTGATTTTTGATGGTTTCTGAGACTATTAGAGAATCGTGAAGAAGGAACATTGCAAAACGACGTGCACTTTGATATGAAAGATTTAAGACTCATATCACCGTTATAAAAATTATAACAGAACCTCCATACATCAACAACTTAAAATAGGACGGTTCGATTAGTTCAACTGAATCCATTACTATACATATATAATCACATTTATTCTGAACTTTTAAACTCTAAATTTTATATTCGCCTTTTCGTGCACACGATTTTTGGAAGCACGGGGTTAAAAACTAAAATGGTAGGAGTAAAGGTCCAACTTTCTACCTGTTTGTTATGTCTACTTCATATTTATCATTTGCTTATGTATTATTTAAAGTGGACAAAAGCTAAAAGCAACCATTCATCATATGCATAACCTTATAACTTTGCCTCGTTTGCAGATAACTCACGAGAGGCTGCAAATGTGTTACAATTTTGTCTATTGGAGAGGTAGCATTCACGGTACAGGTTTGGCGGAGCTCGGTTACATTAGTTTAAATTATGTATTTGTCTTTTAAAATTTATATAATATGAATAATTTATTAATTTAAAATTTAATAACTTAAAAATACTAGAATTCCAAACCTATAAACTTTGAATTGTCTCTATTGACTATGACCTTTTGCGAGAGGCTAATGTAGTGCTCCACCGACAGGAGTTCAACTGAACCCATAAATTTTGATGCGGAGTAAAAAAAATTATATATAAAAATTCATTAAAATTGCAAAAATAGTAGATATGAACCCAAAACTTTAAAAATATCATAGATTCAATGCTAAAAACCTTAAAAGTTAAACTCATATTTAAATCCTGGATCCGCTTCGGCCTTTAGCTATTGCAAAACCATGAAACTATTTACCTCCAAAAGGGCCTGAATTTGTGGGTAAGACCCAAAATGAAGGGTTGTCAATCATTTGTATTAAATGTTTGCTCGAAAAAGGACTTGAGAGTAGCTTTTTACTATCAGTATCAGTGTAGCTTAACCTATAACGGTGTGTTAGTTATTTACCCAGTTACTAATTATCATAGTATTTTATATATAACTACCTTATTAATGACATGATTGTATAGATTTTTTTATTGCTCAGTCTTTGCATAAAACATAAACTCCTAAAAATGAAGCCATTTTTCTTGATTTAGATCTGGAATCTTCAAATTAGGCACTAGAGTAAATTCAGCGCTAGATAAATTTGGTTTTGTTTGGTAGAAAATAGAGATATAAGTACGTGAAGAGAAGGACCTAAAACATTAGGGTATCCGTTTGATTTGAAGACAAAACTATGCTCTAATACTGGAATTAGTTATGCTGCACTAATTATTCTAGGATTATTATTTTATCCTCTAGCTGGTATAAATTATTCTTGTATTATTTTTAATCCTGGCTTAATCTATCCCAGGATTAGTAATCAAATAAGGAATAAGGCGATACTAAATTTTTACCTCAGGATTATTTTTGTTTATCCATTATACCAAATGACCCATAAATTAGCAAAAGTCGCACACCCCACCTTTTCAAGTGTATTACATAACTAATTGTGCAACTAGTAATAATTTGCACTATTGGGAATATTAGATCTAGAATGTGGCTGGATATTCTTTAAACTTATATAATTATATTTGTAGTTGTGCTTAGTTAATACCAATGTTGTGTAAACGATGAACTTGAGTAATTCATGTTAGTCAACTTGTATTAACTCTTTGAAAGGTTTTAATAGGACTATTAGGAACCACTCCGTAATAAGTTTTTATTTTTGAGATTTTTCCATCAAACTGAAAAGTATATTTCTAATATTCTAGATACAAAAGATAGTCACCTATAACATATTTATCACGTAACTGAATTAAAAAGAAAAACTAAAGAAAATATAGATGCGTTTTGTTGCAAAAAAGAAAATATTCAAGACAAATTCTCTCAATAACAAACTTAAAACAATTATCTCAAAATCAAATCCGATTCATCAATTAGAATTAAAATACCAAAAACAAAACATAACAAAAATAAAAGCATCTGAAAGTGACTAGTGACGATCATCAATCTTTACATCCTAAAGAGGGCAGCCTAGTGCACAAAGTATCATGCGTTCACGCAGGGTTTAGGAAAGGGCCGCACCTTAAGGGGTGTGATGTAGGATGCAAGCATCGGTGTCTGATTCCACGGCTCAAACCCGTGACCTATAGGTCATACGGAGATAACTTGACCGTCGCTCCAAGGCTCCCCTCCAATCTTTTACATACTAAACATATATATATAAATATTTAGATTTGATATAAACACATAATCAATACTGTTAGACAAAAGGGTCATTGCCAACCACTTTCTTCTTTCATTATTATTGATAAGCAATAATTTTCTTTTGGATTGTTGTATCATTCATTGTTTACTCCTCTTGTCTTGGACCTGTAGGCCCACTAATCTGACCCGAAGGCCCATTAGTCTGACCCGAAGGCTTGTAATATCCAGTAATGGAGTCTGGTACCCATGATAATGACTCTGAAGTTGCCTTCTCTTCCTCTTGTTTTCCTTTACTCTTTAAAGTCCTTTTTGTAGACTCTGTTTCTGCTTGTGATACTGCTGCACCATACCCTCTCCTACAAAAAACAAGATTTCTCAACAATATATTTTTACTAATTTCAAAGCAGCATTAGATATATAAGGATAATCCGATACACTAAGCTCCCGTTATANAAAAAAAAAATATGAATAATATGTTTTTATTAAGTTCACCTGTTATAACAAAGTAGCATTAGATATATAAGGACAGCACCGTGCACTAAGTTCTCGCTATGCACGGAATCCAGGGAAAGGCCGGATCGTACGCCTTAGCCTACATTTCTGCAAGAGGCTGCTAAAGTAGCATTAGATAAAGCAGATTTAAAATCCTAAATTTTGCCCAATATAAATATAGAATTTAACTTATATATACTGACAGTTTAGAATATATTTATATGTTGTCAGTTGAGGCTGATGCAAGATAACAGTACCAGATTCAACTGAACCCAGTATTTTTGACACGCATAAATTTATGTGTAAGAAGTAACAAATAATAAAGACAAATTCATGGCTATAAAAATGAAACGAGTTAAATATTAAAAGTCTTAAGGTTGAATCCTGCATGCGCCACTGGATTTGGGTACATTTTTACTTGTCATATTTACCATCTTTACGTGTTAACAATCTTAGAAATTTACATGTAATTAGCTTCCCAGGGACTTGATTGTGTAAAAAATTACCATATAGAGTAGGAAAATTCATTTGACCTTATTTAGTGTCATGTTTCAACTCTTTATGTAGATTTAACAGGAAATCTCATAATCGCTTCACAATGAGAACTCTATATCTGATACTCCCAATTTATGAGAGTCAATTTGACTAATGTTTGAAGCTAAATTGGATTAGATGAACTCAATATCTTAAAATTAACATGTAAATGTCTAAAACTATACAAAAGTTGCACTTCTTTATATATCAATATGATTAAAAAATACATCTTAAGATATTGAGCGAGAGAGTATAAATAGGTACCAGAAGATCTAACTCACCTGGAAATGAGACAAAAGGAAAGCCTGGTTTTGGAGAGTATTCCTGTCATATTTCCAGCCATTTTGATTCAAAGTAAACTCCAAGACTTGTCAATACTAATAAAAGAATTGGTGAAATATTTCGAGTTTTAGAGAAACACAAGCCAAAAGTTGCTTTATATAAGAAATGAATAGTCAAAAAGTGGAAATATTGGTGTAGGGCAATTTTATGATTGTGTCCACTTGGTCATCCTTGAAGCAGAACCACCCACGTTGCAATATTCTATAGAAGCATTATACTTTAATTCCTAATATGGTAATAATATAATAGTAAGAAGAAACTTCCAAGAGGAAGACGTGTAAGAAAAGCCAAAAAAAAGAAGAGTGTTTTGGTAATTTGAAAAGAACGTGAAATTATAGTTAAATCTTAGCTGCAAACGATTTTGTTTATTTGAGTGATATTGTTCCTTTCTTGTCGATTTCTTACAAGAGTTCAATTTTATGCCTTATTAGTGTATAAAATATTTACACGATCAAATCAATTATAAATTCGTATAAGTAAATCTCTATAATAATCATTGGTGGCATGTAGGCACGAGAAAGGTTACCACTTTTGGCCTTTCTTGTAATCACGACGTACTTGTGCCAAAAGGTTCTTTATTCAAAATGCCACTAACGTGTACTCCGGTTATGATGTATAAAAGTCGTTGAAAGCAAATAATAAATAAATAAACAAATGTCCTATTATTGACACTATAAATTTTTAAAATGAAGTGATCATACAATTTAATACTCATATGATAGTAGAGCAGATAAAAATTTTAAGTTCAAGTCCTACTATCACCCGTTAACAAAATATTTTTACATGTTTCGTCCAGCAAAAAAAATTATATCGCACGAGGAAGATATGCTACAAATACAAGATAAATATATAAATACCAACATGTTTCGTCCAAAAAAAAAATTTATATCGCACATAAGATATGCTACAAATATAAGATAAATATATAAATAAAGTACGCCATCTCTCGTAGTTTAACCTTTTGGATGAAGAATAGCAATAGAAATTCCCAAAGATAATTGTAATAATGTTCAAACATGTGCCGCAAGCTTAATGTTTTGGACGAACTCATAAGAATATCCACCTTAATAACTAATGAATTACAAGGTACAACCACTAGAACAAGGGGGGAAATAAGAAAAAAGAAAAAGAGAAAAGAAGTCACAAATAGGAAAATGAAACGTAGCAGATTATAGAGTATCCGAAATTTTAAATAATCTTTTCTCCTACACCGGACAAAAATAGTTCCTAGCAACTGTCTGCCTTCCCACATCTAAATCCCAAAATCGAGTTGTATCACTAGTTTTTTCCTGTCACTCAGTAGTAATTTGGGTTTGTACTCAGACGGGGCAAGGTGGAACATCAAGAGTAATACCAGCTTGGATTTGACCCCAACCAATAAGACGCCAGTGCTTCTCGATTCTTCGGCTAAGAGCAATTTTCTCACCTTTGCTGGTACACACAGGTGATGTCAATTGCAGCTTTGCAAAGACATTCTTTACAGCGACAACACGAGCCCCTGTTGACATAGACCCTATGTTTAGCATGAGGATTTCTCCCTTAGCCAGCTTCGAAACTTTACCCTGCCTTTCTGAGTCCTTTGTCCTCACTCCCAGAAGACGGCGGAGCAAAAAGAAATTTACCTGCATTACAAAGTGATGTCATTTGGAAGAAGAATAACAGTCATGCTCTTTCTGTTCTAAAAAGTGTTATCTAAGTGATTTACCTCCAGCTCAACAAACACTTCAGGAAGCGACCCGACCTCCCCAAGAACCTGTCCCACCAATCGATCAGCACGAGTCAGCGTCGGATCCATAGTTGTCCCAACTCCAATGAGGCCTCCGGGCACAGCAAATTGTAGTTCGTTTTGCTCAGCAAACAATGACACTATTCTTGAATATATTGGGGTACACTTAATGTTGCCACTCTCATCCTTGACAACAATACCAGGACGAACCTCAATAAGTTGATTTACCTTCAGCACACCCTGCAGAAAAAATTTACTTGCTCATTTGACAGACCATCTTCCAATCGGATTTTCATCTCTTTATGAAGGTTTGCATAAGCATCGGTAGAAACAAAAGTACGTCTACTGGGTTAGTAATTTGTGCCCTTGGTCAGTTAACATGAACCGCGAAAGAAGAGAAGGTATGACTGTAGTATTTGTTTGCTTTATGGAATATAAGAACAAACCTTCAGTATACTGCCACCAGCAACACCACCTCTGATATCATCAACTTCAAAACCAGGTTTATTAACATCAAATGAACGGATGACTATCATATTTGGTGGTGAAATGAAATTCCTTTCAGGAATGGGAATTTTCTTCACAATATATTCAGCAACAACATCAATGTTGTACTTCAATTGTGCAGAGATTGGTACAACTGGGGCACCATCAGCAACAGTTCCCTGAACAAGGTAATGAAATAAAGTAAAATAATACAGCCTTAAGATCAAGGACAGAAACAGTAAAGAGGTAAACCAATTACACTAACCTGAATAAATTTCTGAATTGCCTCATGCTGGTTAATGGCAACATTTTCCTGAACTAGATCAACCTTATTTTGGAGAATTATTATGTGTTGGAGGCGCATAATTTCAACAGCAGCTAAATGTTCAGAAGTCTGAGGTTGGGGACAGCTCTCATTAGCAGCAATTAGAAGTAAAGCTCCATCCATAATTGCAGCTCCATTAAGCATCGTAGCCATGAGAATATCATGACCCTGCAGAAAATTTCATAATACAAAAGCATTCTATATCAGGAAATTAAATGTCTTAATTGACAGCCATAAATCAGACAATGAAGTAATGAACCCAGGTAATTGGGAAAAGACTAGACGTAGGGGAAGTGTTTACAGATTGACACATTGCAAAAGAATAGTGCAGAGACTGGCAAAACTCAAAAGAACATAAGTAGATAACATATGTACTATCTTTTTAAGTTTTAATAAAGGTATAGGATCAAAAAGAATCCTACAGATCAGACAACAGACATGTTGGGTTTTGGAGCCTATTTTGTAAAAATGTAAGGGTTCGATATTTCCAAAAGTGAGCTGCAATGCAGCCAATGGAAGTTACGAAGACAAAGTAGTTTCACTTAGTACTGAAAGTATCTACGAATACAATAACATGAAAGTAATCTGCCTAAGAAAGAATCTCTCAACATAAACGAATGAGGCAAAAAATCTACTGCATGTTCACAGGCTTATATATCCAAAAAACCTGAGATCATAAGAAAACATTTACAGATTCTCAGGGAGGTAACAGATGCAGATATGAGATTCACCAACTAAACATAACCAAACCCGCTCATGCCTAGAAAAGGCATTCTAGTTCTGAAGACAGACTAAATAGGAGCCAGAAACTCTCCTTTTTTATCGGCAATTTTTTAATAACTGAGAAGTCCTCAAGGACCAGTGGCGCACGGTTCGAAACTCGGTCGAGAATGGGCCAGCCCCTCTACCCTTCTCCACTTAAATATCAGGCTTTTGTCTGTGGCGGGGCTCGAACCCGTGATGTTCCCCTAACCCACACATCACGCGCTAAGCTCTTACCACTAGATTAAAGCCCTGGAGGCAATTAGGAGCCAGTAACTAAGGGAAATAAAATTTCCTAGTCTTTCGTTAAATCCAAGACAAAGCTACTCGGAACTGCAAATAGCATGAATGCTAAAGATGTGACAGAGCATGGAGAACTTCAGAAAATAAAACAGCACTGGTCCATTTAAAGATATTTTGATATCTTCACTCTGGTGTATTACCTAAATTATGACAACTTAAGATTTTCATTGGAATAATCATATCCGCATGAGATCAGACACACAAAATTATCACCCTCTCTAGTGACCCAATACTCAAGTAAAAAATGGCAGCAATATATACCGTAAATGGTAGGCGAGACTTACTGGACAATCAACGAACGATACATGTCTCAGCAATTTCATCCTACAGTTCTCAAAACCAGGGACATCACACATTGGACTGTCTTCTTTTCCACTTCCATATGCCCTGAAAAAGGATATCGTTACACATAAAAGCAACCAAATGAGCACAAGAATCAGTTCCATCTCAATTTCAAGTACTTACTTGTAGCACATGGGTCTAGGGCAGCGATCTTCTTCACATTTATATATCTTAGCATTAGCATATCCAAGCTTAATTGTGATGTTTCTTTCTAGCTCATTTTTAAAACGAACAGTCTGCATAAATATGGCAAGGCAGATAAATTAGTTTCCTTCTACAGGACAATAGACTCTGAGGTTGCCCCAATCAGTCATGTGCTTAGCTTTTAAAATTTTCATAGCATGAGTTCTTTATGACAAATGCAGTGAGATCAAAATAGGTACACATAATCAGACAAAACTGTCGTGATGGTCAACTTATCAAGGCAATCAATTGAGTACGAGCCAAAAACACATGCAAATCATCAATGATCTCAAAAGCTAATTATTCCAGAAAACTTTACCATAATCATGAGGTTCAATTCATGCCATAATATAGGCTACGCAGAATTCTTTGACACAAAAACTACACAAATAGTAGTAAACTGGGCCTAGACATTTTAAACATGCTCAAAATGGTTTATCCATAAATTCAAAAGTAATATAAGGACATATATTTACAGTTACAACGATCAATGTATTAGTATTATAGTTTTATAAGAAATGATCAACGTATTATTTCTTTTATAACAAGAAAGAAACTGACAAAAAAGAAGACATACTTAAGTGAAGGTCCAGATTCCAAAACAAAGGCATACCTGCACGCCAGATATAGCTTTTACCACTGTTGATTTCCCATGAGCCACATGGCCAATGGTACCTGGATGAGGAAGCTAAATTCAGGCTGATGCCAGTAATGTGTAAAAGAGTTTCTCAAAGAACCCTAAAAAACAAATTGGAGTCTACATACAGTAACATGTCAGTGAAAACAGGGTTCAAGTGTTCAAATAGTCATCAGTTTACCAATATTTATTGTAGCCTGACGAGAAATAACCTCTGGTGAAAGTGGATGCAGCTTTGTCACATCCAACTTGCTCAGTTCCTGCTCCATCAGTCCTTTTCGAGACATTTTTCAGCTGCTCTTTGATACTTCTTCAGATGTCAGTAATTTTCAAG